CTGTGTTGAATAGCAAACAGACATTAATAGTACATCAGTCAAAAATTATAATGCCCCCATAAAATATCTGATGATTACAGTTTAGTTGTGGTGATGCAGCAATGATTACCTACTGGAAATATCTATCACATTCACAGTTTCTGTGGCCTAGACTCAAATGAGAAGTAGCTAAAGGCACTATGAATGAATAAGGATCCCAGTGGAAAGGGACCCAGGACAGTGGTAGTAAAAAGAGAGAAATAACAAAAGCTGGTATGTAATTGAAGAAGTATCTATAGAACAAAGGCCAAGGAAGGAGCTTGGAGCAGTTTAGGTATTTCACTTCATGGAAAGGAGATGAAAGGCTCCAAGGTCTTTGCAAATGGATCACACCAAGAGCCATCTCAACTTTGTAAGGCAGTAATTCAATTCTATGAGGTGGCTTTTGCCTGGTTGAAGACTTGAAAGAAAGAATGCTGGCCTCTTCAAGAGGTAAGCTGATTGGAATGCACAAATTTTCCTTCAGTAGACAGAATGCTTTGATCTCCAATATAATGGGCTGGTAGAAACTTTTTCACAGTATGTCAGAAAGTCAAATATTTACAAGTAGAGATTTAGTCAACAATGGTTAGCATCACAATGAACTGTTTTTCCTTAGTCCTTCAACTAAGCAACATCTGAGTGTGCTCACTAATCATGGTTCTTAGACTGCTTGGTGTCTACTTTTTCCATTACAAGTTACTTATGTGTGCATATGCTTTATCTTCCTTTTTTAGACTAGGCAATCTTCAATAGATATTCTATGTCGAATTCATCATGGCCCTTCTCCACCATGTCTTTTTCCCCTTTAAGTTTCACTACATTACCCATGCAGGCCTAGAACTTGTGATCATCCCATCTTAGCCTCCTGAGAAACTGGTATAAGACTGTGTCACCATTTCTTGTTCTCCACACTGGCTTAGCACATATGTGATAGTCAGTAAACATCAGATGAACCAAAATGCATTCAACAAATGGCAAGGATGAGGGAATATTTAAAGTAAGCAGTTGTACTGACACATGGTAAAACATTGCTTATAAACTTGTTCAAAATATTTTGGCAACATCATCTGATGGAACAATATTTTGCTAGTAAACTAAAAATGTAAAAACAGCATTGAGAAATCTATATAAATGCACACAGAGAGAATGCGGAGTAATTCCATCATTTAACTCACACAGCCAAATCTCACATTTGCAGCACAAATCTTGGCAGGAACAAGGCTTCATCAAGACTATTTGGTAATGAACCCCTCTTCAGTAAATGGCCACGTTGCCCTCAGCTGACTCTTTCTCCATCATCCCCTTGCCTAACTCAGTTAGACAACTTTAGCATTCTCATGGTGTAAGTTTGAATGAAAAAGATAAATTGTACCTGGTTTACCAACTGTACAAGTCCGTTGAATGCCTAATTCAGCACACTTTTTACAAGCAATTCACAGATTTGAAAGGAAAAGCTCAGCAGAGTCCTAATCATCTTCGGGTGGGTGAGTCACTGAAGTGGTGTGGAGGAGGTGAACAAGTTAATCTTAAAACCTCAAACCAAAGTCCTTTTCCTATCTTCACTTGTACCTGGCTATAAAATGGATGTCTGCTGAATCACCACCCCAGCATTTCCTATCATGTCAGTGATAAAGATGAAAGCTGCTACGTTTGAGACCTTGGTGGGGGGGAAAGCCAGCTAGAAAACAAGGGCAGAAAGAAACAAAGTGTGTGGGAAGGAGAGAGCTGAATCAAGCTGTTTCCATTCTCAAATGAAATGCTGACACGCACGCAGGACACCAAACAACCAGAAACTGGCTCCTTGAAGCAGGTTAATGCTTCCATTGAATTTGCTCTAGTTTCAGAGTTCTCCTTTCAGGAAGAAAAAAATAGAAAGGATTTTGTGAAAGACTCTGAGAAGCATCAGATAGCTCTTTAATGTTACATTATATATCAAATGAGCTCCTCCACCCCCAGCTTTAAAGCAAAATGAAGATCTGCAACAGCATCCTGGCAGGAAAAAGAGAATCCTATTACATCACTAGGTAACATGAGCACCACCGCATCCTCCTTTGTCGTCTGTCTCCTGCTAGAGACGCAAATATCAGGCCCCTAGCACAGCGCAGGCAGTGATTAGAATCCTACTACAGACTGCTTGCAATTCTCCAGATCCCCTGCTCCCGGAGCATGCTTCAGTCCGGGGCTGGGCTCAGTCTGCTTACCTTGGATCACAGTTTTCTTTTTTTCTGTCTCAAGGAAGAAATAACCTTGGCAGCCCGCATTTGCTCATTTAGGCTGAGGCGCTTTTACAGATGGAGGCCTGCTCTGGGGTGCTTTACAAGGGCACTTGCTGCTTTCTCTGCTTTTTCACAGCAACGAACGCCACCTAAAGAGCCACCAGTGCTCCTGGTTGGTCAGAGTGTGATGTCACCGCTGAGATCACATGACCAGACCCTTGGACCGGCCTTAGAGAAAGGAAGATTTTCTAACCTAGCACAGAAGCCTTAAAGATGTAGTCTCAACTAAACAAATGCCACCAAACCGGTAGGTGGGCTGTGCTGGCTCAGAAAATTAGAGACCAGATAAGTTTTACAATTCATACCTCATTTAGCAGAAAGAACCAGACATCAAAGTAGAAATGTCCAAAAACTTTAGAATTACTGGGATCCTAATTTGAAAAGGTAAATACAGAAAAGTCTTTTTAAATGTGCCATTAAATTGGGCTTGGTGGCATACGCTTGTAATTCTAGGACTTATTAGGAGGCTAGCAACTTTGCAATCAGCCTGGGTGACATAGCAAGACCCTGTCTCAAAAAAATTCAAAATAAATAAAATAAAAGGAATTAAAACTCACAGAAATAGCATGCATAAAATCTCACAAACACAATACTGAAAGATTCCAGAGATAAAAGAGCTCCTAACATTATGTATCTAATCCTGAACCCAATCACAGGCAAGTCTAAATTTTAGGATACAAATGGTTGCATTACAAGCAGAAGGAAGAAAATGACAAAAATAAAGACAGGATCTACTAGAGAAAGCTTCAGTCTGTGAAGAACATGTGGCAAAAGTAAGGCTTCTGAAATACTGGCCATTTTTCTTGACCTGGTGATAAGTGATCATCTTTCAATTATTCTTTAAAGCATACACATGTGTCCATTTTATGTGCATATTAGAATTAAAGAAAAACACGACAAGGACAGGTGTACTGGCACACATCTGAACTCCCAAATACTTTTGTGAGGCTGATGTAGAATGATCACTTGAACCTAGGATTCTGGGTAAGATAGGACAACATAGCAAGACCCTGTTTCAAAAATAACATTGTTTTGGAATACGGGTAGATGTTACAGTGAGTAAGAGTGCATGCTTCGCAAGCATGAGAACCTGATTTTAAATAACCAGCATTCATGTAAAAAATCTGAATTCAACTGTGCATGCTTGGCGGGGGGGGGGGGGGGCGCGGAGGAACAGGACAAGTGAATCCCAGAAGCTACCATTCAGCAAGTCTACATGAAATCAATCAACTTCATATTAAGTAAAACCCAGTCTCAATGGGAACAAAACAACAGAGGAGGGTACTTGATAGCCCCCCCCCTCTCTCTCTCTGAGGTAGAACACAGATTTGGCATGCCGGAGGCCCTGGGTTTAGTCCTCAGTATCACACTTTTAAAAAATAAAAATGCAATAAAAACTAAATTGCATATCAACTTACAATGAAAGCTATTTTTTTAAGATTTTATTTATTTATTATGTATACAACATTCTGCTTCCATGTATATCTGCACACCAGAAGAGGGCACCAGATCTCATAACGGATGGTTGTGAGCCACCATGTGGTTGCTGGGAATTGAACTCAGGATCTCTGGAAGAGCAGTCAGCGCTCTTAATCTCTGAGCCATCTTTCCAGCACCGAAAGCTATTTTTTTTTAAATATAGGCTTTCATGTGGTCCAGGCTGGATCTCAAATTTCCTATGTAGCTGAGAATCACCTTGAACTTCTAATCTTCATGCTTCCAATTCCTGAGTATTGAAATTACAGCATGCTGGAATTACAGACATATGCTACTACACCCAATTTTACGTTGCATTTATATTAAACCCAGGGCTTCATGCTTGTCAGGCAAGTACTCTACAGACAGTATGACATCTCCAGCCCCAAAGTCAGTTCTGTAATAGCACCTAACCACTTTGAAGCCTTAGAATACAACCAAGAGGATATAGAGGGGTGTAGATATATATTAGTTGGTAGACCACTTGCCCAGCAGGCCTTAGATTCAATCCTTAGTACTGAAAAATGCAGGGATAGAAACACATAGCTGCAATTTTGATACTCAGGAAGCTGAGAAAGGAGGATTGCTGCAAATTTGAGGACAGCCTGAGCTACATGGTGAGGTCTTGTCTTAAGAAAGAAAGAGAGAGGGGGAGAGAGGGAAGGAGAAAGGAAAGAAGGAAGGAAGGAAGGAAGGAAGGAAGGAAGGAAGGAAGGAAGGAAGGAAGAAGAGGGGAGGGAGGCAGGAAGGGGGAAGAGGAAGGAGAGAAGGAGGGAGGGAGTCAGGAACCTTCTCTTTTTTTTTCTATCTCTCTTCCTGGGGGGGTTTATTTCTCCCCCTGCCATTATTGTTTCTGAAAGAAACTTGAGTATTTATGCATGTCTTTAACCACTGAATTTTTTTGTGTGTAGTTCAGTTTTTGTGTCCAAGTGGTGGACTCTATACTTTCTCTAGTTTGAGTAGTTATTTCCTACTTATTTTTAACATAAAGTTGACAGGTAATTGTTCATATTTATGTGCTACAGTGTGGATTTTATACATGTGCGCAATATATAATAGCCAGTTCAGGATAATTAGAGTGGCTTTAACCTCAAACATTTTTTTTTTCTTTTGGGGAGGAGGTGGGGTTTCAAGACAGGGTTTCTCTGTGTAGCTTTGGAGTCTTTCCTGGAACTTGCTTTGTAGGCCAGGCTGGCCTTGAACTGACAGAGATCCACCTGCTTCTGC